CCTCACACATTCCTCTTCATATTTCCCCTCACACATTCCCCCTCACATATTGCCCCTCCATATTCCCCCTCACTCATTCCTCCTCCATGTTCCTGCTCCATATTCCCCCTCACACAATCCCCCTCACATATTCCCCCTCACATATTCCCCCTCCATATTGCCCCTCACATATTCCCCCTTCATATTCCCCCTCAGTCATTCCTCCTCCATGTTCCTCCTCCCACATTCCCCCACAGAGATTTCAGGGATCCCGTTCTGAAGCTCCAAATTCCCCCCAGACGAACTCCATGTTAATTTTGGGAGTAAGCAGCAGCAGTATTTGCTGTGGGCTCCATGCTTTCCCAGCGAGAGCAGCAGTGGGTTTGTGGCAGGTTCTTTGAGCTCCTGAAATGCCTGCACAGAGGGGAGGTCAGGCTGAGATGAGATCTGGGATTTGATAAAGATAATTGATGCTGCACAGGGAATTGGAAAGCAGTGCCGAGAGCAGCAGCTCCACCTGGAAATGTGCCCTTTGTTTGCCCAGCTCGGAACCCCACGGCCACAGCACACGGGATTAAACACCAATGGCAAATTCTATCCCAAAATAAACCCCTTGGATTAATAATTACAGCTATAATGCATCTACAACAGTACTAAAAGGATTAGGCAGCAGGATTAAGGTATCGTTGAGCACAAGCTCTGTTTGCCCACTTAAACAGTAAAATAATACTAAATTCCAACCAAATTATTAATATTTTGTATAAGATTCCTAATTATTAACACACAGCCAAAAATCCTGCACTTTAAGGTGCAGTAACGCAGGAAATACTGATGCCATAAGTACTATTTTATATCAAATTAAACACTAAAATGCGGCTGGAGAGAGAGATTGCAGGTAACTGAATTTTAGGAAACCTGATAGCTGCTTTTGGGATGATGGGAAAATATTCATATTTTCCCAGACAAATTCTTGCTGAGTACCAGAGTCTGGCCCAAAATCCCCCAATTAATTCCTCAGTACAAGTTCTTTAATTATCTTCTTTTCCTTTACGACCATATTTGGGTCTATAAGGAGAGACCTCTGAAATATTCCATTTTTATCGATTAAATCTTGGGATTCATCATAAATATTTAGAGCTGCATTTCAGAAATACATGTAATTTTTGTACCTAAAACCTGGGTCATTTGCACCGGAAGATTAAAGAGAAACATAAGTTATTTTGGGTTTATTTCAAAGCAAAAACTACTTTTAAGCCTGGGCTGGAATCAATACTGTTTGGTCCTGGGTCCTTCCAGAATTAAAACCCCAGCAATCCGAGCATTAATTGGATTGTGCAGGGCTGATTTTATTTCAGTCCTGGATGCCTTGGCAAAGTTTGATTTATGTGGAAGGCAGAAAAGGATTTAATATTCCATTTGGAATGAATTGTGGCTTGGCTTAATTAATTACAGGGTAAAAGATGCTGTTCTTGAAAACAGTGCTTTAAAGGTGTTTGTGCTGCATCTCCAGGCAAACCAGATCATGGAAAGCAGCTCCTGAAATTTCAGAGAAAAGGGAATTCCTGAGTGTAACCTCAATTGGATAAAGGCCTTTTCTAAACATAGAAACAACAGAGGAAGGGGCTTTCATTGATTTATTTATGAAATCAAATTAATAAAGGTGCTGAAACCGGTGTGGGTTCATAGAGATTTCCCTTACACCGGTTCAAAAACAGGGATTTCTTTTGAAAGGCCTGGTGGGGCCATTTTGCATGTATGACTCTAAATGGATCAGAGTGGGTTTTTACATCACTTCAGTGGCACAGAGAGGTTCAGTGGAGACTGTCCCGAGCCCTGGGTTTGGAGCTGGGTCTCTGGGATGGCTGCAGGGGGTGCAGGAGGCTCCCAGGAGCGTTCCCTTCCCATTCACACCCTGCAGAGGAGAGCTGGAAGCAGCTGCTTCACTGCCTGGTGGAAAACAGGAGCCGAGAGCACAAAAATCCTGCCTGGGAAGGATTAGCATCAATTAGAGAAGCACTTCCTTTAAATAACAAAGCAGCTGAATTCCCTGAAGGATTTGTACTTCTTGGAACGAGTTCCAGGAGTAAAAAGAGCAACAAGTGTGCTGCTCCTATTGATTTCTACCTTTGTCTCACCAAAACATATTTTATTGACAAGTGCTCCGTGCTTGTTAAGTGCTAAAGAGTGGGATGGGGCTAAACTAATTAACTGTGGGGATCCCATTAAAGAGAGAGATCTGGGGTTCACTCCCCTTTTCCACCAGGAATAAAGGAATATCTTAATGGATTGTTAATTTATCAGGCTCATTCCAGGTGCACACCCCGAGCAGGGCTTTTAATAACCCGGGCCTGGGCACGGGAGCCCTGCTAATGGGGTTTGCTAGTGCTGATCCAGGAGGGAAGGGGATGTTCCATGTGGATATCACCTTGGATTTGATGCACACTTGGGCTTTTGGATGCTGTTTGGGGTTACTGCTGTGGGAGAGGAGCTCTGGGGAGCATTTCTGTGGGGGGCTGTTGTTGCCAGCTCGTGGCTGCCCCTCATTGCCACGCTGTGCCCTGTTCCCAGACCATCCACGGCCACAAGGGACCCATCACTGCCGTGGCCTTCGCCCCCGACGGCCGCTACCTGGCCACCTACTCCAACTGCGACAGCCACCTCTGCTTCTGGCAGGTGAGCACACCTGGGGCTGTCCCTGCTGTGCGGGCGGTTCCAGCAGGGCAAACATGCCCGGGGAGGGAGGGAGGGCACGGCGGGGCTGGGCTTGGAGCAGCCTGATGCTTGAAATCCCTCCCAGCCCAGACACAAGGGGTTAAACAGTCTCTGTGCCGGTCTCAAGTGTGACCTCGTGCGCCGGTGATTTTTCCCTTCCGTGTCCTGTTTGGCACGATTATTAATGCAGGAAAATCAGGCACATTAGTCATCCTAAAAGGGTTATTACTCAGGATGATTTAAATTGTGAAAGTGTCACACGCGGGGCTCGCCCGCTGCCGGCCGGGATGCCGTGATTTACACCCTGACACGGGCACTGCTGGGGGTTCAGGGCAGTGAAACACCCCGGGGTTTGCGGGGCACAGAAATGCTGCCATGCCTGTGGGCGCACGGAGAGTTTGGAGCTGGCACCA